AACACAATTGTCTCCAGAGAGGTTCTTTTTTTGCTATAATAACATGAAAAATAACTGATATACAGTCTGCTAGTGTTTGAGACATTGGAGTCTGTGCTCCAGGAGACTGGATTTCCAATGTCTAGTGTATTAATTACTTTTTGTTGCAATGACAAAATACCTGCAGGATCAAGGCAACTTACAGGAACAAGAGTTTTATTTTGGCTTAAGGTTACAGAGGGATAGGAATACATCATGATTGCAAGTGACAGGCATGGTGGCTGCAGCAGGTTGATGAAAGCATGTCTTTAACCATAAGCACAAATCAGAAAAAGCTAGCTGGGAGTAGGAGGGAACATTAATCTCAATGTCTGCCCCTCTGACATACTGTAATAAGACTACATCTCCTAAACCTCTGCAAACAGTGTCACCAACTTGGGACCAAGTATCAAATGCCTAAGTTGGGGAAAACTGTTCACTCAAACACCAGTGCTGGTTCTTTCTTGTTTTTTGTCTCTGGAAATTTTCATGACTTACATTACAAACCAGCTGGATACAGCATGTTTGCAGAGTGACTAAAATAGCTTTTTACAATATGGAGCTCTGGCTTCCAATGCAAAATCAAGATGTATTCTGCCTTGTAGTAGATCATGGTAATGGACCCTTTCTTTATGATGTCTCAGGTCAAATTACTGGCCTCATTGAGCTCTGTTCAGCAGAATTGATGCAATCCAAGTACTATCAGAATGCAGCAACAGTCTGTAAAATGTGTGTATTTGTGTGTTAAAATTCCCTTTTGAACTTATAAACCCCGAATACAATTAAAATGTTGTGTATAACTTCAATGTTATATGAAGTTCCTAGCCTATAAAAGACACATATGCAGATCCATCAAAAGTCTGATTGATCTATAATACGCATCCCGCTTCCCAATAGGTTTTTGGTTCATAAATATATTGATCTGCTGAATAGCAAGTTAAGCTATTCCTCCTGGGTCAAGTTGGTGTCTGTCTTAATTTCTCACTGGTAACTTAGAGTATTTAGAGGATATAAAGCCACAGAGGCAGGTAGCGATTACTATTGCTCTGTGATTCAGAAAAACAATACTCCAAGAAAGCTTTATATTCAACATTACTGATTTCACAGTTATTAGGAATTAAAAATACCTGTAAATCTTTCAGATAATTAAGCATAGAACATTAAAAGAAACTATGATTATAATGTTTCAAATAGCTCTCTCCTTTCTCTTTTCCTCTTCCCCTTATATAGTATGTTGGGCATCTGCTTGCTTTTTGGTACATTGGGCAGTGGTTGTTGGTCCTAGAAGATATGAATTGCAATATCACACTGCTAAATTCTCTGAATATATGCAAGCTGCTTTATCAAAAGTGTGACTTTCATATCTACATTTGTATAGAAAGAATTTATAAGCAAGATATTGCAAGGTACAGATAATGCATCTCATTTTTCTCCCTTGTTGCTCACTGCATAGACCTAAATAGGTACCAGCATTTCTTTCTATTATGGTTGCAAAAAGCAAGCAAAGCATTATGCTACTAAAACTGGGGTCTGACTTAAAGCATCTTGATGTTCAGCAGTTGAAAGTTTGTCCTCCACTAGGGCTAACTCAAGAGCCACAAGAATAAGAGCTAAACCACAGCCCACTATCAGTTCAGTGCTCTTCCATTTATTTTCTTCTAGGTTTTGATTAGGGAAATGTGAAATTTGTCTTAAAACATATGAAATTTGTCCATCTGTTGTTCTGTGTACATTTTCTTTACTAGATTAAGTGACATTACATATACAAACAAGAATCCAACAAACACTTCCTCCCCACAGAATATAGAGACAACTCGACCAGAACACCAGTTCTTTGTAACTTTACACCAATCAGAAGAACCAACTCTAAAGCACCTTGTAATTTAAAAGTCCCACATAGAACTGATCCACAGTAATGCCAATTTTTCAGGGTCTAAAGTACTTTTTTGCTGAGTTAAAATGTCCTGCATTTGATAAGGTACTTAATAATAAAGTAAAATCAGACATCTCTATTACTAGGTACAAATATAAATATACATTATGTTTCACTTATTAATATTCAATATCATTATTTGAGTGCTATCTATAAACATGTTGATAAGCCACATAATTCTGTAAATAATATTAATTATTACTTATTATGTATTACAAATTTTTAGGTATGGCATTTGATTATATATTTATATGAAGTTTGAATTTCTGTATGCAAGGATATATTATGTGTTCTAGTTTGATTTCTGTTTCTATGATAAAACACTCTGACTACAAAGCAACTAAGGGGAGGAAAAGAATTTATTTGGCTTATACTTCTACGTCACAATCTGTCAATAAGGGAAGTCAGGCCAAAACTCAAACCGGAAGTTAAAGGCACACCTGTTTGCTATTCTGTACATCAATATCACTAACAGGGAACTCACTCACAGCCTAGGAAGTACATCAAAAACCAGAGAAGAATGATAATTGATAGCTTGCTTGCAGATTCATTCCTAGGTGGCTTTCTCACACAGCGTATGGATCATGTGATGCCTGGGGAATGATGTCACCTACAGTGGGACAGTCCTCTCTCTACCAATTAACATGCAAGGTAGTTCTCCTGCATAAATGTGCCCACAGGCCAATGTGATCAGGGCAATTCTTCAACAGAGTATTCCTTTGCACTTTAGTCTAGGCAATGTCACTTGAAACTTAAAGCTAACTAAGACAATGTTCGTGTGTGTGTGTGTGTGTGTGTGTGTGTGTGTGTGTGTGTGTGTAAAATGATGAGGGTCCAAGATTGAGTGTCTTATTTCCCTGATGGCTAAGGATGTTGAACACTTTCTTAAATGTCTTTCAGCCATTTTAGATTCCTCTATTGAGAATTGTCTGTTTAGTTCTTTACCCCACTTTGTAACTGGGTTGTTTGGTGTTTTGGAGACTAGCTTATTGAGTTCTTTGTATATTTTGGAGATCAGATGTGGGGTTGGTGAATATCTTTTCCCAGTCTGTGGGCTGCCATTTGTTTTGTCTTGCTGACTGTCTCCTTTGCCTTACAGAAGCTTCTCAGTTTCAGGAGGTCCCATTTATCAATT